TCTCTCTCTCTCTCTCACACACACACACACACACACACACATACAGACATGCGCACAGCTAATGATTCATCTTGAGGAGAAGAATCCTTTACCCTCTCTCTATGTCTCTCTATGTACTTCCCTTCTTCTCTCCCCCTCTCTCTCCTTCTTTCTGCCTCTCTCTCCCCTTGTCTCTCTCTCTCCCTCTCTCTCTCTGTCTCTCTCTCTCCCCTTTTTCTTTTTTTTCTCTCTACAACGGTTAATTTTGTAGCTACTGTATTCTCGTGCCCTCTCCACCTCCCCTCTCCTCCTCCCCCCCCCCCAATTGGGCTATTTGGCCATTTGGTTATTTGGCTATTTGGCCATTCGACTAGTGAGTTATTCTCTTGTCGTCCATTGTGCGTTTGGTCTACCCGGTTATCGGCCTATTTGGTTCTTTGGCTATTCGACTATTTGACTGTTGGGATATTTGGCTATTTTTTCGGGTACTTTGGGATCTTACTGTATTTCTCTCTGTAGATAAACGTTAGCGAAGAAAGAAGAAAAACATCTAAGTATAAGGGGAAAAAAATAGAGGTAAAAACACAGGGAGACGATGAGGCGCATTGGTGACAATGAATGAGTGAAACAACAAACAATGTCTTTTCATTATGTTCCTATTAGTATCTTCGCATTATCTTCCCGTTACCTTCGCATTACCTTCTTAGTATTATCTTATCAGGATATGGATAAGTTCAACCTCTGTTACTATTAGTATTACTGTACTAACTATTAGTAACTTCCTTTTACTATTCTCTCTTTCTCATTGGAGTATTTTCTCACTACAGCATATTCTCATTTTCTGCCTCTATTGGAGAACGAGAGTCTCTGTCATGATCGATGATGATGGTCGATGATGATGATCGATGATGATGATGATGATCGATGATCGATGACCTTCCAAACTCTTTTCGTCTCTCTCTCTCTCTCTCTCTCTCTTTCTCTCTCTCTCTCTCTCTCTCTCTCTCTCTCCCTCCCTCCTTTCCCTCCTTTCCCTCCTCCCTCCTCCCTCCTCCCTCTCTTTCTCCCTCCTTGTTCCTCCCAACCTTCTTTTATGCTTCTGGTTGACGTCATCAATCTTACAAGCGCCATCAAGCTTGAGATTTGTCATTCAATCTCGAGCTTCAGATCGTCGTCATCACCCTAACCATCCGCCATCATCACCCTAGCCATCAGCATCGTCGGCGTCATGTGGGGACCACCATCACAACGACGTTGAAGCGTACGATGACCGTCACCATCTCATCCTAACTGTCAGCATCACTCTAATCGTCGGCGTCATGTGGGGACCACCATCACGACGTTCTGATGACACATCCATCTCCATTTTCAGAGCGTCATGACGGAAACTACCATCATCATCTTCAACGTTTCTCTTCTCTATATAACTCATCATTAAAACAATCATTACGATCATCTAAACAATCATTACGATCATCAGAAACATCATTGCAATCATCATAACAATCATCCTAATCACCACAATCATCGGAATCAACAAGAAACCCATCACAATTAGCAATCACAATCATCAGAGAAATCATCATAAAAATTCTATCACAATCATCATTAAAGTCGTCATTATCGTTACAACAATGATCGTAATAATCATCTCCATCATTTTCATGATGATCAGTCAGTATGGTCGTTGTCGTCGTTTCCTCCATCGCCAAGAGCTTCAAGGTCACTACATCCGCCATCGCCAAGAGCTTCGTCTTTCTCCTGACTCGCTACGGCGCCCAACGTTAGCGATCCCTTTGCGTGTGTGTGTTCGCAGCCCTAAGTCTGCGGTATAGTGGGCTTCGTCGTCTGCGTCAAGGTATCGCATTTTCAGCGGCGGGCGACCAGGACGCAAAGTGGGTTTTTATGGGGCAAAAGTTTGGGGGGAACCGGTCCTTGGCGAAATTGGGGACTACCTACAGGCAACTCTGGAATGACCGGGACTTTTCGAAAAAGCAAGGACCAATCATCGGGTGGAAGTGGACCCCAAAAAGAAGTGGGGGTGGGGTAACGGCCCTCAGGCCCAGGCGTTGAGGCCCGTCTTCTCAAAACAAGGAGGTCAGGCGCAACGAAACAGGCGTTTTGCAAGAGGCACCTTTGACGATTTTTTGTGCTCGGAGGAACCCACAGAAAAATCTGAAATTTTGAGAATCCATATATGAGGTCGTGTTCTTTCTAATAAAAATATTAGAACATTTTTTAAAAATCATTTAGACCGAGAAATAATTATCGCGCCGATTGGGCACATTTTCCATTTTTGCCACTCAGCCATGTGTGGGCCAACTTAAAAAGTACTCCAAATTCAGTGAGTTTTCATTCTCAGAAGAATGCGTGAAAAAACCTGAAAATTGGAGTATTCGTTGATTTTGTTGTAATCATTCCAGGAAAAACACTAAATAAATGTAAAAAAATCATTCCAACTGCGAAATAGATCGAGGCCGCAATTTGACCCATATTTCAAATTTGCCATTGTCTCTCTCTCTCTCTGTCTGTCTGTCTGTCTGTCTCTCTCTCTCTCTCTCTCTCTCTCTCTCTGGTAGGCCCCTCGCCTCCCTCTCTCTCTATCTCTCTTTCTTTCTTTCTCTCTCTCTCAATCGTATCAACAAATGGAACAAAACTCTCTCTCTCTCTCTCTTTTGTGCGAGTTCTTAGTCTCATTGATTTGGCTACCTTAGGGCTGCGTTCCCCGCGCCCACGCGGTAGACAATGTGTGTGTGTGTGTGTGTGTGTGTGTGTGTGTGAGAGAGAGAGAGAGAGAGAGAGAGAGAGAGAGAGAGAGAGA